CTCAGATAGATGTGGTGACTGCGGAAAAAACCACATCTGAAACAACTTCATAAGAGGCACTCGAGACGTAGCATCGATTTCAGTAAAGCTTATCGAAAGCAGACTTCGTTGGTTGGGTCACATGAAAAGAAGACCCATCGAGTTCGTTGGCAATGTGTCCTAAGCACTGATGCTGCCGGCGAAGAGATAAAGAGGAAGATCGAAGAAAAGGTGGCGCGATGTCGTCAAGAACGATATGAAATAGTGAGAATCACTGAAAATTTAACGAAAGAGAGATAAATGAGGAGGAGATTGACTCGATTAGCAGACCCCTGCAAAAGGGAACACGCTGGGAAAAAGAAAAAGTGAGGTTCTCGTGTCTCACACCAGCGGCTGGTGAGCGTGTACAGTACTGAACGCTGAGTCAAGAGGCACCCGCCTATCAACTCGCATAAGAGGGTGATGTGTAACTACTGTTACAGTGCGAATGATAAAGAGCAACATGAACGCAATCTACCACGTATCATGATTCATCAGATAAAGTTTTATAAATGAGTAATTTCTGAAATTCTTTAAATTTGCAATTCGGTGACTTTTAGCGGAAAGAAAGGTTGGTGGTTGACCTTAAACAAGGCTTTATTGCACAAATAGCCAATATTTCGGCCACATAACAGCGGCCTTCTTCAGGACAATAAGTGTTACAGTAGTAGAAGTAGTTTTAAGTAACTTTAGTTAGCGGATACCGTAAACTCTAGCCTTTGGTAATGTCCATCGAAGCTATGTAGCGATCAAACATATGTTGTTCTTATTCGCTGAGATGTGCAGCGACTTGTCGATCACCAGTTTGGCTTTATCGTCTTCATGGTCAACCGCTGAAACATTATCCTCTACGAGATGGTGAGCATGTTGCAGAGCATGAGCAACGAAGCAGGAGTGTTCTGAGTGACTGTTCGAATGAGCTCTCCTGTGTTCACTATTTCGAACTTTCAAAACTCTAAAAGACTTCTCAATATAAATCCGCTCCCAATAGACTACATTCAATTGTTTAGTAATGAAAGATGTTGATCAGGTTTCTTGTACAGTGAGGCCTCGAGAAAAGAACGCATTGCGACCTCAGTTTGCGGTGGATATATGGAATAGTGCATGAGCTGCAGGTTCTGATCTTAGACGAAGGTCCATGAATGAAGTGTGTGAGTAAAGAGCAAGCTAATTCCCTGGGCGTAGCGGTTTTTTTTGGAACGTCTAACGAAGGGGCATAATTTCTTCAGATGGGAGGCTTTTGCGATTGCATTGTGTGAACGGTTTTGAAATGAATGGATTTTATGATATTAGCACTGACGTATTTAGGGCTTTTGGAGAAAGGATTTGAGTAATGATTGGAATTAATAGGTTTTCTATATAAGGAAAAAATGAACGATCTGTCGGCGTTGCGTTTAATTAAGTTGTCAAGAAAAGGTGAAGTTCTATTGACTTCTTTTAAGCGATTAATAGAATCTCTTGAACTCAGGTACGTGAGAAATGAATCGAGTGAATTAACTTTATGAATCGATTCCACTGTATCCGTTAATTAAAACCACTTGACGCTGTTTGTGCTACGGTGCACCAATTGTTTATGCTCCGCGCAAAGAACGTCGTTGGTTAATGGCTGAAATGCCATCCATTTTTGCAGTAAAGTCTTATTTAAAGTCAACCATTAGCCCTAACTTGAGATCAAAACCACTGGATCGAAAATTTAGGGAATTTACGAGTTCGTGACGCAGAATCAATTTCATAACTCATGAGTAATTTCTGCTCATAAGACAAAATGAAATATTTATGGAACAGACTAATTTTTTACATTTTTTTAAAATTTAAGATTCATAACTGATCACGTGAATATTAATATTAATATTAATATACGTCGCCAACAAAACAAAATACAAGCGTTTTGTTAAAAGTGTCGTTTATTTCAGTCTGACTGATTTCCTACTTGCCTCGCTTTGAAGAGTGTGCCTGCAAAATCGCCGTCATAACTCGATAGTTTGACTTTTGTTTCGACAGCTGACGATCGCGCCGCCGAAGATACTTCAGAAGCAATTGGTTGGATTTCGTCATTTCGGCCTGAAGTCGTTCGATGATTTTTTCAAGACCAGCTTCGTCTAAATTGCACCTTCGTAGAAACTCGCATAAATGATCAGAAATGAAAAAAATCGGAAAACAGTTATAATCAGTTATTATAACTCAATAACCAATTTAATAACCAATGTGGTACCACATATGTTCTAAAACGGTGGAATGGAATGATGTGTGCTTGAATTCTTTCACAGCTAAATGTTACGCGATATGCGGATTCAAGTTCTTAGCTGAAAATGCGTATAATGACGGATAGGCAGTTAACGTTCTTCGTTTTTCCAGTACAGAAAATTTGGGAAATGATGTCAGTTTGGTCAAAGGGCAAAAAATTTATTAATGACTTTTATTAGCGATTTTGATTTTATTTCATATTCACTCACATAGGGACTATTTTGCCAGTAGCCGGAGGCTAAGCATAGCCGACTAACTGCAGTCTGCTACAAATCTAATATGTCTATACTTTTTCGCACTGTCTTCAAGACATTCAACACAGCAGCATTCTGACATTTTAAAGCAGATCTCATGTGATTTAGAGGCAGTTTTCATTGATCTTGACATGGTACCATTTGCAGAAGTGATATCTGATTCGCAAGATCAACTGATACACCCGCCTCAAGTCGATTAGTACTTTCCCATTTTCTCAACCTGTGCATTTTGCACATTCTTGTACAGTGACAAAGCAACATTTGTAGTCTCGCTGTCATGCTCTTACGATTGGACATTAAGAATGACGGAACGATTCTGATTAGCCGGATAATCAGCGGGAGAGTATAGTATAGTGGTCGAAATGGATGATATATTATCTGTCTTTATCCTCATTCGCCGGATGGTGTCTGAACGCCGGCGATGTTGGCGTGGTGGCGCCTCACTTCAGAGGTTGACTTCGAATTCTGGAGGTGTGGGTTCGATTCAGCCACAGGACTAACTCTGCCTTAACCACGAATTCACTTGAACAATAAATTTACCATGCGTTGCTTCAGGCCCGGTTGTTCAAGTGGAAATGCTAAAGACTCGGAAATGGCAGGTGGCTTAATTATAATCATGAATAAATTGAAAAAAGATTGACTCGTGCGAAAATGATAAATTCCAGCTGTCAAAGCCAAAGATGGAAGACGGATAAACAAGAAATTCGAAAGAGTGCAGAAGATTTCCATAGGAAACGGTACAGCGATGAAACAGGAACAGTCTAAATGGCAATAGACAACCTGAAAATCAAATGAAGTTGAAAAAATTTCAGATATGTTTCCAGAAGAAGTACAAAATGTAATGAAATATCAAAGTGAGGAGGGACTTCTGGCGAAAACGGCATTGCTGTGGACCTCGTTGAAACAGGAAGTGAAGCACTGACCAAAATATCAGTGCGATTGTTTCGCGCTGTCTGACGGAACTGAAAACTTCAAGCGGTAGGACTGCTGCACCTGTGACTCTACTTTACAGAAAAAGATACCAATGAAGATCTGAAAAACCGGTTGATCGATCAGTTCATTGCCAGCCATTTACAAGATCTCCACGAAAGTACCGATGAGCAGACTTCAAGAGAAACCGGACACTGAACAGTCAAAGGAGGAAGCAAGATTCAGAAGTTTTTTGTAATGTCATGGACACCTCCAAGTGGCACAAATAGAAAGTACAAACAAAAATACAAAAGTGCAGTTAGAAAGCGAATATCAGATTCCTCTCTGCCTGAATGGTCATCGATTTCGAAAAAGGCTTCGATTCAGCTTATGCACTGTCAGTACTGGATTCCATCAAGAACCATGGAAATGAGAAAAGATATAGACTTGAAATTGATAGCCTTCGATCAATGTGTGCTCCCAGTGCAAAAATATTTATGCGAAAAGTGGAGGTTAAGCTTAAAAGGTTTTTAGGTTTTTATAAATGGCAGACTGTGCAACACAGCATGGTGGAATGGATGTAGTGATTAACAGGAAAAGATAGGAAAATAAATGAATTGATAAAAATACAGACAAGAGCCTGTAAGGTCATTCCATGAATGAGGTTGAAGTGGCAGTGGGCAGTAGACGTTACAAAAAGAAACCGACAATCGCTGGACGAGAGAAACATCAGACTAGGTTCATAAAGAAAGCTACCGGCCAGTAAGAAGACCCTCAGGTCGTCGGCAAGATGAGCTGAAAAAGTTCTCTGAGCCTAAATGGAAGAAACGAGGGTGTGCGGGAAAGTTAAGGGAATGCCTTCATGCAATAGTGAATCGAAAAGCTGATGATAATGACCATCTTGACGGTACTGCAGGGCTGCAGTCAGGGCGTCAGACCAATGAGAAGTACAATAAGGTCCTTGACATGTAACACCAGATAATGAACAGAGTTTAATATTGTGTATTTACAGTGTGAAAACCGCAAAAAACCGTGGGAAGCAACGAGAAATTGCACGTCATGCCGTCAATCCTCTGTGATAAAGTGGATGGTACTACATTCCTATTACTGATAATTCAATGATGGCTATGATCCTTTCTAACTTAGTGCGATGGTCACATTCTCTACACAATCACTGATTCCATGAAGAGCCATATCGTTGGTCGTCACGTAATATATTGGAATCAGCACCTCCCCTTATGTGCATCAGAAGATCTTGACCAATCGTCTTCTCTGTTGTCCATTGTTCCTGCTGCAATACAAAGTTACCCACACTCACTGGTCACACTAATCTTGTATGTGGACCAAAATCATTGCGGAGAGACAGGTAGGTCCCTAACGGCGCCAACGTAAAAAATGATTTTTCCTTATACGTTCACTTAGCTAGAGGTTGTCCCTCGGTTGTTACTTGATATGATTTTGGAACAAAAAAACCACAAGCCCGATCCTATGTAGGCTGCATTCACCTCAACCGCTTCAGCCAGGATATTTAACAACGCCTGTTTCGCCTGGAATCGTACGTTTGGAAAATCGTAGCTAGCTCTCTCTGGATTCAGACCAACATTTCCGCAAAATGCTCAAAAGACCCGTTACCCATTTTGACCGGGCGGCTGAGGCGTTGACTCTTTCACTTGTCCGGTCGGTCCTGGCTAGCGAAAAATAGTAGGGTCGCATTTTGGAAGACAAACCGAAAAACAAACGCGGTCTAACGGTTACAGTAGAGTTGATATTAGCGCTACCTTCGTTGACCAACGACGCCCGGGTGTATTTCGGAGCGTTGGCACTCAATGTTCCGTGCTGCCAACCCTCACAGGTGCTGGACGTGTCTGAAAAGGTATCGTTGACCAGTGGACACTGGTCGTACAGTTCTCGCAGCAGCAGCTCGAACGATTCTCGCCTCTTCTTCATACGGATTTTGTTGCTGCGTTGGTCATCGTCTTGTCCGGCTGGCATCGCCACCGAGTGGCTGTCGCCGTTCATCGCACGTCACCTACCGGTGACCTGATGTCGAGTTCGAGTCCGAACTATATGGACTGCGTTCGTGCCTCACCTACGCCGCCGCCACAGTCGCCGCCGCCGCCGCCGTCGATGCTGCCTTGTACAAAGTGCGAACGGCGAGGAAGATATGAAAATCGCCGGCCGGGTGACGGCTGGCGCCTTTACGTCAGTGAGAAACGATGGCCGATCTGCAGTCGGTCATTTGCCTCTGGCTAAACTCGGACGTTCAGAGTGTCTGAAGGAGAATTGGAGGCAGCGAGCCGTTGTCCGGTAGCATCGTTGATGATATGCTTGGCGACCCGTCCTGAAGTGGCAAGTAAATCCGTCGACGAATGCTGCCAATGACTGTTACCCGCCATAGTCGTCATCGTCGTCGTCTGCGTTTGTTTATTCAGCTCAGCACGTTCTATTCACCTGGTTTTGCTTATCCGACAGTGCACGTTTGGTCGTCGTGTCTGACACGCCATATCCCACATCCCACACGTCACAGACGTCCTGCGCGGGTGGATTTTATTACAATAAGAATATGTGGAATTCTTCCGAGAGATACCTTCGCGGGCAGCACATCGCAGTTTCGAACCACACTGACTTTCCGTCATCAGCACAGATGATCGGCAAGATGCAGAAATTCACACTTCTCACACAGTTCATTGGGTAATAAATCATTTTGCCCATTACGTACAGATACCATTATTTTGGTGATGCTATTTTATCGGGAATATTTTTTATCTAACATTTGTTCATCTTGTTAGAGAGAGCAGGATTGTTCCTTTAGGGGACGCCTTAAACTCGGGAACCGGAACCTTCAAGCATCCTCAGTTCATCACCGTACGCTACGTTGGATGCCTTTTTCAATTTTGAGCTTGTTGGCTCCTTCATGAAGCTTCACACTAGCAGTTGCATTTTCGTAAATCATGGTCATGAAGTCTGTCCATTTTTTCTCGATACACTGGCTCTTCAAAGAATCCAGTACAAAACAAATGCAGACGAAGTCAAAAGTCATTTCGAAATCGATGAACCCTTGGCAGAGAGGAAACTGACATTGTCTGAATTACTTACCATATTTATTGGAGGTGATCA